TAATAATCCTCACAATATAGATGTGTCCCAATAAATATAATTACGATATTCTTATTTCTATCCATTATCAGAGACAATCGAGTGGTAAACATTAGGACACATCAATAGGTTTCTGGTGTGAAAAAAACTTACGATAGGCATAATGACAATCTCTGGAATTCGACTGTGGACTGAGTGGACTTAGAGTAGAGTAAAACAGTACATTAAATGGAAAGTATAACAGAAAAGTAAGTAAAAAGACCATATGCAAGGTATAAACATCATTAGACTGATTCATTACCTTAACAAGCGATACGGGATCAACATGATCAGAGGTGCATAACTGGGTCGTATTGAATAGTATTGGGTCGGTATCATAGACTGTACTTTTAGACCATTTATAATATTATTCGCCTGTAAGCCTCGGTATACTGGTCGATAATTCTGCATCAGATTTCATATTCTCTGAGGAAATACGGCAGAAAGAAAGTAAATTGTTTCAGGTAATATTCCACAGCGCCGAAGTAGTATTGAGAGCGGCAAAGTTACTGTATAAAGGGGAATAACTCGAGAAAACACATTTTACTGATACGCTGTCGGTCGAACTGACCGTTTTCTGCACCAAATTGCATAGTTTCCGATAAAATATGGCAGATAGAATTAAATAACTTATTTCACAGTATTAAAGTCGTATTGGGTAGTATTGGGTAAATAACTGGGTCGTATTGGGTAGTAAGGGGTATATTGAGTCATAGTCACGGCATTTCAGTGATGTTTTCTGGGGCGAGTACAAAACCCGGAATGCACTCAGGCGTGAAGATTATTTTATTTATTTTTTTGTATATATTAGGCTGTATCTCCTATAATATATTATGGATTTTCATTCGGATACCAGCCTAGGAAAGATAATTTATACCCGTCACAATGATATACGTGCCTCGTTGATGAAGAGCTTATTAGATGTGGAGGGAGATGTGGGTGATGATTCCTGGTCTTTCTTACTGAATAAAGAAAATATGTCATCATAAACATTGGCTCTTGTCTTATACGAGATGAAACGTACGATTATGTCTCTTGGATATGCCTTGTTAATGGGACCTACACGATGTGAGCGACTGATGTCAGAATCAGTAACCATAACACCCAGTGTGTTATTGCACGAGTCAATAGTTAACTGGTCAGCGTTCTCGTGTTCAGATTCTGGGATCCCCCTGAATTTCAGACAGTTACGACGTGAATACTGTTCCATGTCATCTAATCTGTTTTCTAGTGACTTGACCTGTTGTCACCTATAGCCTGGACACCCTTTTTTCATCCTTAGCTGATAGTTCTGTGGACATGGTTAAGGGTTGTGAATGTTATATGCACAAACAATAATTTTCCGACCAACGAAGGAAAAATGGCAGGAATCACGACGGTCAGCTGAAGAGCAAGTAAAATGTCTAAATTCTCACATCTGCATAATATTAGGCATCATCAATCGAAGTGGCCTTTCAGATATTACATATCTTGTTTAAAAATGTCTTTTTAAATTTCAGGTGTTGTCAAAACCATGTTATCACTAAAAAGTTGACCGCTGGTCATGCAGTTTGCGTGCTTACATTTCGTCCACTGTATCGCCTCCTATCTGTGAACGGAAGAAGAACTTGTTAGCTTGCATATCATCATATAAGCACAACAGCACACGCAGGTCTGTATACTTTCCAATCAGAACAACAGTTTTTTATGTACACGCAACCGCCGCTATTGTCACAATGAATTTGTCTGCATCTGCCTCAGCATGGACGGTTGTAAAGCTGCTGTCATGAAGCTTCTGGCTTCGTTTCCTAGAAACCCAATATAGTGCCCCAGCAACTAACAAGAATTCTCCTTTTATCGGGCTCCCACATCAGAATTCGACATGCGTTTAAGTGTCATGTAGTTCCCCGTTTGCCAATTAGTGTTTATTAGATCTAAAATTGCTATTTTTACATAATGAAAGTATTGAGTATGATATAGTATCTATGCCTAGAGATGTATTTTCTTTGTTTTAAGAGCGTTTTCGTATACGACTGATGTAAATGGGGAATCACAAATTAAAATCTTTAACGTTTATATTAACTGATAGAAATATTAATATTGACTTCACTAAGCTACATTCTGTTGGAATCTGCCCGACTATACGTGGTGAAGGAGGCTGGATAACCACGTATAGAATGTTTGTAGTTCAAGTTGCCTCGAGACCTGATTAATTGGAATCGTGTAGGGATGCATAACTCCGTCCTCCGAGTTCCCGGACGTGACCCTTACTGTGTCCATAGTGAACTACTTGGACTGAAGCGATATGTCACCTCTATCGTTTATGGGTTGTCTCACCTATTCGAATTGGTCAGTAAAGTCAAATAGTTCACATGACTAATGCTATTCTAAATGCAGAAACAGAGGTTTTCCAATTTCTGCACACCTCTTTAAACGGAGGAAACGCTTATAAGTATGTTCATTTCCCTTTTGTAGTCTCTACTTATCAATATTATTTTTTGGGTAAAATGGCCACCAGACAGCTATTTTAAATTTGATAGTTCAATTTTGTATCTATGCATGTTCCCATTGGTCCCCTTTGTAAATATTACCTCTGGCCCTAATGAGAACTCATCCGTCATTGACACCACCTCTATTAATGGAAGTTTTAGCATTTTGTACATAGTTATGCAATTATTAGGTAGCAGTATATGGTAGCGTACGGTGGCCATTGGTGATATTTTTGTACAATGAAAATCCCTCGTTATAGTACATGTACAATGTATCAAAAGCCCTACGGAATGACCTATGCAAAAACGTGAATATTTCTGTGACTGAGAAGGTAATAAGTATTCATCTATTTTTTTTTATTCAAAATGTACTTTATATATATATTAATATATGTATGTGTGTTGGGCAGGATGAATACACTGTATATGTTTATCTGAGACATTGCCTTTATTTGTAGGATCAAGCCATTTATACTGTTTACTGCTACGTTAATCAATAACATAGTGGCAAATAAAATATGACATTAAGAGGTTTAAGTATATGTACAAGATTCCTGTTTAGAATTTCCAACATGGGACTTGGCAACAGAACCTGGAATAGAAAAAGAAGAGCAAAGAAGGCAAAAGATCAGTCCGGTATATAAGCATATTGAATGTATTTTTAAATTAATTGTATCTTTATCATCAAATGACCCTTCGTCCGTCGTCCGTCCTTAAACAATTCTTGTTATCGCTATTTCTCATCAAGTTCTAGAGAGATCTTTCTCAAATTTAATGTATTGGTTTCCCTTTTGTCTGTAGTTGTGCATATTTACTTTTGAAGTTGATCGGATAAACAAAATGGCCGACAAATATATTGGATTCCCATTGTCTGTAGGTGTGGATGTTTATCTTGGAGAGTGATCATAAAAAACCATATGGCCACAGGAAGGACTAATGAGATCTTTCTGATAATGTAATGATCAGATCTATTTAAACAACTAGTAAATATGTGAAACCGTGCATTTACTGTTGGTACACGACTTGATCTAACAGATAAGAGAAAAAAAGAGAAAATATCAAACTGATATAAACTAATAAAGATGGCACAATTGTATATTTATACCAGCTATATCAAAAAGGAAACGCTTTATTGGATTTATATACATTATACCAAATACATGTTCCATGTTTTGTTTCAATTGGTGCCGCAATTTTTAGCTCACCTAGTGAGCTTATGCCATGGTGCGACGTCCGTCTGTCTGGCGTCGACTTTTTACTTTAAACAACTTCTTCGCAGGAATAACCAAAAGGCCTAGGATAAGGTCACAGGGGTCAAATATGTTAAAATATTTTAACAACTTCTTCTGAATAACCAAGATACCTTGGGTGATGGTATTTGGCGAGTAACATGCTGGGATGAAGGGCTATCATTTTTTTCCAAATGAACTTGGGTCAAGTATGTTTAAAACCTTTAAACAATTTCTTCTGAATAATCAGGCTGCCTAGGGTGATGTTTAAAACATTTAAACAACATCTTCTGAACAACCAATGAATTACCTTGACTTATAGTTGAGGTCACGGGGTCAAAATCTTTAAACAAATTCTTCTGAATAACCAAGAGGCATAGGGCGATGGTATTAGGCAAGTAACATGCGGGGGGATAAAGGACTACCAAGTTTGTTCGAATGAATGACCTTTACCTATATTCAAGGTCACAAGGGTCATGTATGTTTAAAACCTTTTGACAACTTCTTCTGAATCGCCAAGATGCTTAGGGTGTTGATATTTGGTCAGAAACATGCTGGGATGAAGGGATACCAAATTTGTTCAACTGAATGACCTTGAATTATATTCAAGGTCACAGGGGTCAAATATGTTGAAAAGTGTAAATTACTTCTTGTTTATAAGCAAAATGACCAGGTTGATGATATTTGGCCAGTGACATGCTGGAATAAGGGTTTCCAAGTTTATTCAAATGAATGACCTTCACCCATTTGCAAGTTAACGGGACAAATATGTTGAAATCTTTAAACAACTTCTGAATAATCTAAAGGTCCAGGGTAATGATATTTGGCCAGAAGTTTGCTGGTTTGAAAGGCTTTAAAGTCTGTTCAACTTAATGTCCTTGTTTGACTTTCAAGGTCACATGTGTCACATGTTTAAATCTTAATAGATTTTTTTGAATCAAACACTGGTATTTTGCCTGTAGCTGTATTTTAGTAAACTTTTAATATTACAAGTGTAAGAGTAATACCAGGTGAGCGATTCAGGCCCATTGGGCCTCTTGTTACTGTCCCATATGAGGATAATATATTCATTTACCAACCGATATTTGCACACACTACGTGTTTGATAAAATAGGATAGATACAAAATGTATTCACTTTAGTTTATGTAATCACAAACACATACGAAATTGTACAGTCATCTTTTAAGTATAAGCAGATCGTTTGCATTAAATATAATTAGTATCATGCAGACTGATAAAGAAATGAATTTAAACAAGATACATGCAAACAATAACATATATAGAGCTTACTCATCTGGAATATTATTTTGTCTATTCGCAGCTTTTAATTACGAGAAGGTCGTTTCTAGCATCCGTTGCAGACAAAGGAAATGCGTTTGGCGGAAACCATAGATTCCCATTTAAAGGCAGAATATGTGTTTGTGTGTGCTGATCGTCGCTACCTAATAACCTAGAAGTTTTTGGTTACATGAGATAAGGGGATTCGCCGTCATGTGGATACTGCAAATGTTGGCGATTAATGATTATCATGTTTAAATTCGTAATTCGAATACATTGCGAAAAAGTTTCATGGTAGATCTCCCTGTTTCACTAAAAGTTGTTCAAATGACTAGTTGTCGGCAATGTGTCGGCCCAACGTGGCACCAATGTTGTAGCAAAACACGAATTTCAGTTGTTGCGTACCAAGGATTTAAGTTGTTCTGTACCAAAGTGTTATATTCGTATCATACATCTTTCTTATAAATTGGTGCCGAATGTCGGGTTTGTTTTTGTATTTAATCGCGCAACGTCTGTTGTTCGTCTTCGTCGCCCATAAACGTTTCATTTAAACGATTTCTGCTGAACAATGGACAGGCCTAGAGTCATGATATTTGGCTGTAAGCTTTGTTGGTAGGATCCCGACAAGTAGTGAGAACTCAAATGACATTTACCTTCTTTCACGGTCACAGGGGTTCAAATGTGTCAAACACTTCAAACGACTTTATCTGAAGAACTGAAAGACATATAATCTTAATAAAATGACCTTAATCTACATTCAAGGTCACTAGGGTCAAATATGTAAAACACATCAAACGACTTTTTCTTAATAACAAAAAGGCATATTATCATAATAATTATATTGCTGGTTTCTTCTTCGGACAGAGCCCGACAAATTTGCGAATGGGAATGATCTCGACCTACTTTTAAGGTGACACAGATCAAATATGTCAAACACTCAAACGACTTCTTTTGATATAATCGTCATATTTGGCTGGGAGCTTCTTGGGATTGAGCACGACAAAGTTTGAGAATAAAAAGGACCTCGACCTACTTTTAAATTTATATGGTTTATATGTCGAACACTTCGATCGACTTCTTAAAAACTGAAAGGTATATAAGTTTAATGTTTTGCTGATAGATTCTTCATGGTGGATCCCGACAAAGTAATGAAATTTGAGAAGTAGCTTCCTTAGATGGAGACTTACAAAAAGTTTGCGAATGCAAATGACCTTTACCTGCTTTCAAGGTCATTGGGATAAAATGTGTTTTCATATTAAAATGACTCTTAATAACAAAGCACCTAAGTTTTTTCAAGTCCATAACTTTTTTAGACTTTCTAGGTCACTGTATTATAATGTGTTAAAATCTGTTAAGACATGTTGTTTTGAATAACCAAGAGTCGCACGTACGGACTTCTATCCTTTAGCTTTATCTAAATCTAATTTGATAAAGAGTGGCCTTGGCCCAATATGATTCAATGTTGTATAAAACGTGCCCAAACCCTTATGGCGACAGAGAGATGGGACCCAATGATGTGAAAATGTTGCCGGGAGACAGAGCCAATATTTGAATAAAAATATTTGTAGTACATTATAATATTTTATGAGCATATTTTGCTATGACTGCTTAAATATCAAAGTAAGCAATAGAGGCCCTCTGCTCTTATTGATTGTACTGTTTTGCGGTTGTAAATTGGTTGTAAAATATATCTAACCTTATTGTAAGGTCGGTTTAGTGCAATTAATTATATATCAATTCCACAGAAACTGTATCAATAAAACTTTTCATAGACGGAATATTATAGAATCTGCCACAATTTTTTTTTAATCTGAGCATTCACTCTTTGTCATTTTGATGAAAGGATTGGTAGCATGCGTGACAATAAGGTTGCATATGCCTATCATTTCTCAGAACAAAATAACAATATCAGTATGCGTAGTAAAGGGGAGGTTACTCGTAGTAAACAAAACACAAAATGACAGGCTTTTGTCTTTAAATGATCCGTCAAATGGCAGTATTCGCACACTTCTGATTTTTTGTTCGTGAACAAGAGGCCTAACGGGCCTGATTCGCTCAACTGGTATGAATCTCACTCCAGTTACATTCAAATCGGACAAGGGAGGAACATATAACAATGAGCTAATTAAAGCAACAGTTCAAATATTGTTTGTTTGAAAAAATTGTAAAACATTTGATTCCTGTGACCTTCATCCAAGCATACTAATGGCAAGATATCACTCCCGTTGGATTTGTTTGGATGGTGAGATGAAATTGCTAACCTATCTGACCCCTGCAACCTTAAAAGGGGGTTAAGGTCACTTCTTTTAAGAAAATAAGTAACACCTTATTCCAGCATGCTACTAGCCATATATCAATACCCTGAACATTTTTGTTATTAAGAAAACAGGCATTGGAATATTCAACATCGCATGTATCGTAAGAAGCGATCAATGTGGGAATCCCCTGCTGTATTTTGGATTTGCCTTTGTGTCCTGTACTTGGGGACACAAAAGCGTCCAAAATAAGTCTGCTGTACCAATTGCAATACTTAGGATATTTATATTTCTCTTTTGTATTTATATAAAGTAGAATTCTGCAGGAGATTCCCACAATAGTCACCTCTTACGATACAAGTAGTGGGTAACAGCAGGTGTTTATTTTCTTGATCCTACAGGGGTAGTGTTAATTCGGGCCAGATGAGCTAATATATATAAAAATCGTTATGAAATATTCTTGCATTGGATATTTGTTCAAACGGCTTAACATTAAATGTTCGGTATTTTTGATAAAAAAAATATTGGATTCAGCGGGGAAAAGGTACTATTTTGAATACATTATACATTGGTGTTTCAAAGAGTCAATATATTGACTTAAAACTGCATTGACTGTGGTAAAGGATGCTATTTTTATGTATGTACAGTTTTTAGTTTTTAAACTTTATTTGTAAGTAGCTTCACTATGCGACTTTGCGTTTTTGTTGACAGCTTCTATCCGACCAAGGTCCAAATTAACCGTGCGTTCTAACGTCATCTTACACGGAGAAAAAACAGTGTTTTCATGTTCAGCTGATCGGTAAGTTTATATCTACAGATAATAATGACAAAGTTGAGTCAACGACTCGTCTTACATGTTTTTAATTTTACAAATGTTTTGATCCGAATCTTTTCGATTTTTTGAGAATGAAGCGGGTCAAATATTTTCTGTGTTGTCATGGTTCTATTCATGTGTTTAATCATGCCGTCAAACTATGGTGGATATATTTGAATTCATATAATCTTCGCACATGTTTTAATCTAAAATGTGGACATTGGTTCAAATAGCATTCGAACTGCATAGGAACACCTGAAAGTAGGGCAACCATTTTCTAAACTTTTCTCTGTAACAATAGGAACTAGTTGAACACTAATTTCAATAGCATCTATAAATATTTGAAGTCACCTGTCCCACGCTGCTTCCTTTGTTGCTTAGTGATAGTAGTCTTAGTATATCTACTGCTAATATTTCCATTGAGGCCCCATCAGCATATTGGTTATAGGTAAATGTGTTCTTTTCCCTGACTTCCCTTGGGAACATTGACCTCACAACCTTCATCTGTGTTCTAATGTCTTTCATCTGATACCAAAACATTAAGATTTAACTATGGACAATATTGTCTTTACACCAAGATCTCACCCTATAATTGTATTTCATTTCAAGGGTTTATTCAAGATGTATATGAATCGGATCCAACAACAGGCCACGCCTATATCATAATTTATAGTGAAATGAAAAAATGAAACATGATGCACAGCTAATATAGAAAAACACGAACGTATCGCAGCCTCCCTAAACACACACGCATGCATCTTGCACTCATGGAAGGCCGTCCTTAAATTATCAGGACGTTAAACAATACAAAACCAAGCTAAACCAAACCCACCCATCAAATACCTATCTACCTAATAAATATATGCCACTATGAAATAGAATATCTAAGTATCTCAAGAATTTCCTGTATAATTAGAAAAAAAAACTACCCCAAAAAATACTTACCCACCCCAGCAGATAGAACACCTTTCTACTTCCAAAAAATACCTTGTAAATCCACATTTCTGTTAATTGTATTTTCTGTCGACAAATAAAGGAAATCTACTGTAATAGCACACTTCAAACTTCAACCGATAGAATATCTATAAATAAAATTTTAAATTTTGACCGATTTGTTAGGTTTTATATTTTATGTAACCTTAAAGAAGGAATACTAAGGGAAAACGTTCACACCTTTTTGAATTCAGCAAGGAACCAAGGAGGACAATTGTCTACCTTTTCATGTAAAGAAATTGCCATTACCAGAATTTCATATTTTCTTGTACAAGTTGATTCTCTGTCTTGACGTCCAATGATGAATATGCATTAAAAATTTAGCTTACTTAAATTTAAATATTGTGTAGAAAAAGTAGTAGTGAAATGAGTTCCCAGTGAAAACATTGCAAGTTTGGTTAAAAATAGGCCTGCTGTATCCCTCTACAAGTTATTGTAAAAGCGATTAATGTAGAAGATAACCTTGCAGAATCATGGTTTTCTTCCATGTTTTCTGCTCATATGATATTGAAAAAACCAAAATTTATTGCTGACACTCACCTTGAAACATATAGAATGTGAAAGAAAACATTTGAAATCACTCATTAGTACTTGTATTAAAGTTAAATATTAGCAAAACCTGAAATGGCTATCCAAATTAATATTTTAAGCAACGATATTGTTAAGGTACAGATGTAGATTGAATGTGTTTAAAATTGAAAACCTTGTCTAATTCGAAAACTTCCGGAAACGAAAGAATATTGCACATGACTTTCAGGTTTGTCAGTCAGGGTTATATAATCTAAACAGGAAAATCCCTAAGTCTCGTTAAGCATTCGCAAAGGGGAGGGAGGCAGGCATTGGGTTTTGTCCCCAGGCTGGGACATACCAAAGTCCTTTAAAATCGTAGTTGTATTCCTGTACATGTAGAAGATAACCCTGAAGTATCACGGTTGACTCCCTTGTCTTATGCCGAGGTGACATTGAAGAAACCAAAACCAAATTCCAGAAACTACATAGAATGGGAAAGGAAGCATTTGAAAGATCTCATTAATAAATGTTATAAATGGATTTTCAATGTATATAGTGGAGGTATATGTTTTTATAGAATTATATATTCAGGTTAAAAGACATTTCATAGGCAAGATGTTATATAGTGAAATATATATATTAGATTGGTGTAAGAAAATATTAATTAGTGATGTAAAGGCATATTAAAGGGGTCGATTGGTAATTAATAGGCGTAGATATATATCTTATGGGCTATTTTAAGTGATATTTTTATAGATGAACATTTTAATACTTGTATTTGTAATGCAAACGTTATTTCCTACGACACTTTATTTTAGCTCAGCTGGTCCGAATGACCATGATGAGCTTATGTCATACCGCAGCTTCCGTCGTCCGTCCGTCAACTTTTCCTTTGAAAAATTACTAGTCATGAACGACTGAGTAGATTTTGACCAAATTTGGTCAGAAACATCCATGGGGAAAGGGGAACAAATTAGTATAAATGGTGGGTCTGGTCCCCCTGTCGGCTGAGGGGCGGGGCCCAATAGGGGAAACCAAGCAAATTCTTTAAAATCCTCTTCTTCTGTAGGATTAAAAGGATTTGTTCCATATTTGGTCTGAATCATCCTTGGGTGAAGGGGAACCAATGTTGTATAAATGATTGGTCTGGTCCCTCTGGGGGCTGAGGAGCGGGGCCCAATAGGGGAAACATAGCAAATTCTTTAAAATCCTTCTTCTTCTGTAGGAATGAAAGGATTTGGTCCATATTTGGTCTGAAGCATTATTGGGTGAAAGGAACCAGTTTTGTATAAATGATTGGTCTGGTCCCTCTGGGGGCAGAGGGGCGGCGTCCAATAGGGGAAATATAGGAAATTATTTAAATTCCTTCTTCTGTAGGAAGGATTTGTTCCATATTTGAGAAGAAGCATCCTTGGGGGAAGGGGAACCAATTTTGTATAAATGGTGGATCTGACCCTCCTGGGGGCTGAGGGGTGGGGCCCAATAGGGGAAATATAGCAAATTCTATAAAATCCTTCTTATTCTGTAGGAATGAAAGGATTTGGTTCATATTTGATTTGAAGCATCATTGGGTAAAGAGGAATCAATTTTGTATAAACCTTAGGTCTGGCCCCCAATGTGAATGAGGGGCTGTGCCCAATAAGGGAAACATAGCAAATCATTTCCAAGGGCATTAGAGCGGGCCCAAATGGGTCAGTGTGCTGAACTTTCTTCATTTTCCTTGTTTATAATTAGATTTTGTCTATTAGCCAATAAGGGGAGACACATGTTTTTGTTCACAAAACTAGTTTCTAGTTATACATCTAGATCAGCAGGGGTAGCTATATTTTTGAGAAATACATTTGAATATGTAATACATGGTAGTAGAGTAGAAAATTGTAAAAGATTGATTATACTTGATATTTCAATTAACCAAAATAGATAAACATTAGCTTGTTCATATGGTCCAAATCAAGATTCCCCATTTTCTTTGAATTGTTTTTATCAACCCTACAAGTTTTTAACAATACTTCTATGATCTTATGTGGTAATTGGAATTCTGTACATAAAAAAAGAAAGAGATACACACAATATTATTCACAATAACAGCCCAAAATCCCAGGAAGCAATAGACAAATTTAATACATATGATCTTATTGATCCATGGAGATGCTTTTATCCTGATTTGAACATTTTTACATGGAGGCAAAAAAATCCCATTCGACAAAGCATGCTTGATTACTTCTTAATTTCCGAGGACATATATTCAAAAAATAAAAGATAAAAAAATTATACCTGAATACAGAACTGATTACTCTTGTATAGTCTTAGATGTTAATTTCAGTAATGTAGAAACGTGGCAGAGGAAACATAGCAAATTAATCTTTAAAATCCTACTTCTTCTGTAGGAATGAAAGGATTTGTTTCATATTTGGTCTGAAGCATCCTTGGGTGAAGGGACACCAATTTTGTATAAACCGTGGGTCTGGCCCCCAGGGGCCTGAGGTACGGGGCCCAATAGGGAAAACATAGCAAATTATTCTTTAAAATCCCTTTTCTTTTGTAAGAATAAAACGATTTGGTCCATATTTCGTGTGGAACATCCTTGGGTAAAGGGGAACCAATTTTGTATAAACGGTGGGTGTGGGACCTGAGGGGCGGGGCCCAATAGGGGAAATAGAGATTAAACCTTTATAATCCTTCTTCTACCATAGGAATTAAGGGATTTTATCCTAATTTAGTCTGGAGCATCCTTGAGCCAAGGGGGCTCATTTTTTTATAAGCAGTGGGTGTGGTCTCCCAGGGGGCAGAAGGGCGGGCCCAATAGGAGAAATAGAGGTAAAATCTTTAAAATCCTTCTTCGACCATTGGGATTAAGGGACTTTATCCTTATTTAGTCTGGAGCATCCTTGGGTCCTTGTATAATAGGTGGGTATGACCCCCTAGGGGCATAGGGTTGGGGCTCTGTTTGAAGTTTGTTCTCGCTATATCTCAAGTACTGTATGGATCTTTCTGAAGTTTCATATGTACTTACAGCACCTACCATGGAGTGCTATATCTTAACTTCATACCAATTATTTTAAACATATTCAGGTGAGCGATACAGGCCCTCTAGGCCTCTTGTTAGAACACTTGCAGACGAATGACGTAATATAAATAAAAACGGAAATGAAATTAGGGACGTTTCATGGCCATCTTTCGACGAACAGCATAGAATAAAAACTATAATGTAAAAATTAAAAAAATATGTATCATCTTAAAAACGTAATTTGGTTCCATTGTCTGGTAAGAGTACTTCCGGAAACGAACAAAAAATGGCGTATCAATTTCAGGTTTGTAGATTTTATAGCCTCGTTGAACGTTCGCCAAGGGGAGGGAAGCAATGGGTTCTGTCCCCAGGCTGGGACATACCAAAGTCCTTTAACATCGTAGTTGTATACCTCTAAATGTTTTTGAAAGAGCGATTAATGTAGCATATATCTCGGCAATATCACGGTTGTCTC